GTAAGAGGCTTGGCATATGCTCCTGAGAAGTCCCAGAAATCAAGACACTGAATTCTGAAGGAGTGGCATAGGTAATTGGTCTGCTGGAGTCTGCTCTCCCCCACATCTCACTGTATGAACTTCTGCATAGAGACCCTGGTGATATAAGTACTCACTGTCCAATCTGGGGTACGGTGCTGACCACTAGTAGTCAATAGGCTTCTGCCATATAAGTAGTTGTTCACATGCAATAAACCACCTTTTTTTTTTTATCAAACCATGGGCACTGTAGTCTTGTGGTGGTGGGGGGGGGTGTCCTAGGGAACAGCAATGGCATATTCTATAATCAAAGTTCTCCCTCCCAATTGTCATCTCTTATCCCTTTCTTCCCCCAACTGAATCACTTCTTCACAAATCATCACCCTACATTCATTTCTTTGGATACAGCCCACTATATATTGTAGACAGAGCTGCTTATTCATTTCCCAGCTGCCCAGTACCAAAATAATCACACAGAAACTATATTAATTAAACCACTGATTGTCCAGTCACTTAGGCATATGTTATCTAGCTCTAATATCTTAAATAACCCATCTCCATTAATCTGTGCATCACCACAAGGTCATGGTCTACTGGCAAAGTTCTGGTGGGCTCGGGGGGAGGGGGGTCTCTGTCTCCTGAGGCAGCTACATGGCTTCTCCCTGACTATGCCTTCTTTCCTCCCCTACCTGCTTGGAATTTCCATGTTGCCTGACTATGTGCTGCTATAGACCCAAAGCAGCTTCTTTATTGACCACAAAAGTATTGAAAAAATAAGAGGGGTTTCTACAAAAATGGGAGCCAAGCACAGTTTCTTGGTAGCCACATTTTTTTCCAGATGGGCTCACAGTGAGCAGGGATGCTGCAGCTTTTTTAAAAGAGGTGCAGTAAAAACTTCAGGGCTTCTTTAAAAACAGTGGCTTCCTGATTCACCAGCACAAATGGCTCTGACTCTTTTGGGAGGTCCAGTTACAAAGCATTTAAATGGGGTTTGTGAGCACAGTGCTACAACATGCTTAATGGTAACATAGACCTGCTCTGTGCTTAAAAATGGGGCTGTGATCATGGTTCACAGAGGCAGCAGACATGCTTCTGTCATGTTTTACTAAGCGGAACCAACAGGCAGGACCATAAATTCACAATCATACATTCCTTGCTAAATCCTTTATTGGATAGTGATGATTTATATTAAAGTACTAATATGATATTAAGGAACAATCTATAAAGTTTGAACCTATGAAAGTGGATTAATGTCTTTCTGAGGTAAAACTATATTCAAAGGTTAATATCTTAGGAAAATAACAGTTCATATATATATATATATATATGTTCATATATAACCATTCATATTATCGTATTTAAAATGATGTAGCATTCCAAGTGGTTTATATTGAATATGCTTTATAAACCCATGATGATTCTTTACTGAAAGAAAATATAAACTTATGGTACCCATTATTTCTCAAGCTCCTTTTTATAGATTTTTTCCCTGCAGAATATTTTCTACATACTGTAATCATAAAATAGTCTATGCATAATAATTGGTATCACCAATTAACACTGGAAAAGACTGCATCAAAATAATTTGGTTAATAAGTGAGAATGGAACAAACTGAAGATCAGCGTCCCATTAATAAGAACTTTGCATATATTTATAACAAAAGCCGTGGTTGACATGATCATAAATGTTCATGCTAAATCCTCTCCAAGTCAATACTTATTACTGCAAAATATTGTTTACATCACCATCTTTAAAAGGTCAATGTGCTAAAAGTTCACAACATAAAACATTTAATATTTTCCCAAAGTAGATAAGACTACAAGACCCAAATTAAAGATCATACAAATATTAAAGTAGGGGTGGATTTCCAAACATATAGAAGCATAGAACTCTCACCTACAAACAAACAAACAATCCAGTAGCTCCTTCCTAGATGCAAAGAGAAGTGAAGTCAAGAACAAACAGATGCCCACCCAAGAGAGAGAAAAAGATGCAGAAAGGCACCATGTCAGAGAGGACTCACCATGAAAGCCACTGCAGTAGCCAGTGACTGGGTAGAAAGTTCTGGATTATAACTGATCAACCACTAGAGGCTTATTGAGGATTATATGAGAGATTAATAGTTATGGGGATCCCAGTAATCAGAGACACCACACTGTGAGATTTACCTCTAGGAACTCTATCATGGCAAAATGACAAGGAAAAATTCTCTCAAGATTCTCGCAGCAGCTGGAGAGGAATCCTTTTAAAATATGTCAAGTATTCTGCTTTTAACAAGGTCAGCCTCACAGAACTTACTGGTGGAAGTTGTGGACTGCTGGGTTTTGATCAGTCTAAATGAACCAGAACACTGGGGATACCTCATCTTTGGTGACCTGATATCCTGTCCCATCTAGAAGAGGAGTAGGGGAAGACACAGTATACGAAGATTATAATTCAAAAGTACAGGCTTTCTTAAAACACTGGGACTTAAAAAGAGGACTGAAAATCGTTTCCATACCTGTCTACAGTGCCATTTATGACAACTCCCTTTCTTTATACATCATGCTAAGCTACTAAAAAACAAAACAAAACAAAAACCATAAAATAGTAAAATGTTCAAAACAAACAAAAAACAGGAAATCCTTCAAATATTAAAATCAAAGCAAACCAAACAAAACAGCCCATAACCCTTACAAAGAAATAAAATACAGCAAAATAATAATAATAATACTAACAACAATAATAACAATAATATCTTAGAATTTGAATAGCAAGTATCCAACCAGGCTTGTGACATATACTAGGATATCAAAATGGCAAGAAGATTTTCCACAACTATGATTAATATGTTAAGGACCCTATATAACATATAAACATCATATTACATATTATATATATTTATATTGTTTATAAACATCATGAATGACCAGATGGGCAATGTAAACAGAGGGATAAAATTGTATGAATACAAAGGAAATGTGAGAGATCAGAATTCCCATGATGCAAGTGAGGAATGCCTTCCTTCGCCAGGTCGTGGTCCACTAGGTCTCAGTGCACTGAGAAACTAGGCTCCAGGATATCATCATAGAGTCTTCAAATACTGAAGAGCAAGGAGAAGAAAAATAATGGCTGAAGTGATCTAAGCCATTACAAGGTATGTAAGAACTGTTGACAGCTACAAAGGTGTAATATTTGCATAAGGAAACACTAGTAGGAAAATTAGGAATCCGAAAAAAATACACAGCCACAGACTGTGAAATTATGAAGTACAAAATTACAGAGCATATATCAGAGAAAGCTCCAACTTGCATATACCTTTCCAACTAATGAAGGTGAAAGAAAAGAAGTTAGAGTCTAGAAGCTGAAGGAGTAAAAAATTTTACCTGTGGAAGAACATAGAAAAGAACTAAATCTAACTTCTCAACCATTAAATATATAGAGGAAGGACTTAGTTTATTAAAAAAAAACCAGTTTAAAGTTCTGCATTTCCCAGATAAGCGTCTAAAGAGAAGACAAACTAAACACAAACAAAATCTGGGGGAATTTGTTGCCAAAAAATGTTCTACTTTAAAGAGACATTAGAAAATAAAGTTTTTGGGGAGAAGAAAAATGACATGGGTTAGAAACAAATTCACAGAAAACAAAGATGGAAATGAATGAATTCAAAGAGGAAACATATTCTCCGCTATTAATATTTGCCTAAAAGATAATAATAGAAAACTATAATAACATCAGTGTATCTTATTATGCAAAAAATCAGAAGACAATAAAATGCAGTCCTATACAATGCTCAACTTAAATCAAAATCAAATCCAAGAAAGTGGAATTTAAAACAAACAGCAAAGTATCAGCTGGGTGGTGGTGGTGTATGCCTTTTGATCCTAGCGCTTGAGAAGCAGAGGCAGGGGCATCTCTATGAGATCCAAGCCAGCCTGGTCTACCAAGTGAGTTCCAGGATAGCCAGTGAAGTTACACAGAGAAACCCTGTCTCAAAAAGTAAACAAAACAATCAAATCCCTTATACAGGAAACAGTAACAAATATTATTGGTTTTAACTACATTAGTAACCACTTCGAGTACTAATTGTCTCAGTACATAAAGTGAGATGTTGACAGACAACACTCAAAGAAAAAATACAAAATATATGTAGCCTCTAGATGTCATTTTATAGTTTATATAGGTACAAAATAAGTGAGCAAATGAAGACACATCATGTAAATGCTAATCAAATGAAAGAGAAAGAAGCTTAATTTTCAACAGAATGGATTTCACATTAAGAAAAGCAAACAGGCTTAAAAGAGGGTGAGCTACATAAAAAGAATCAGTTTTCCAAAAGGAAAGTCTATTTGTGATCTGAATAATGGTACCTCTACAAGAGCCAAAAAAATTAGGATAGAAAGGAGAACTAGATGCACCAAATGTTCTAAAGTCACAAACATGTGAAGGACAAGCCTTCATCCGCACTCCTGTAAGAAAACCTTCACAAATGTTCTCATCAACTGCCAATGGTCAACTCATTGGTGCTTCTGGCTAAACGTGGGCAGAATTTCTTTGGTTTGTTGTGGTGTCTTATCTGAGGTAAAGAAATGCTTGTTTGTGTCTTCCACAAAATGTCATCAGAATTACGATATATCCACATGCTTTTTTGCTCAAAATTCTGGAATACGCATCACTGAAGATAAACTCTTGCTCATAAATTATGGGCTTTAGGTAAAAATGTTGGTGGAGAGTTGCTAACATAAGTACCATTCTGGTTGGGGGGTTGATACTAAAGGGGAATTAGAATGTGTATGTCTCTGTAGAATGTGGAACATCTTATTCTTTCACTCTTAACTTTGCTATTATTCTAAAAGTGTTCAAAAAATAAAAACCTTTGTAAAATCAAGTCAAAGGAAAAGAGTTTCTATGGCTCAGACAATAATATTCTCTTGAAGTATTTATGTTCACTCTCTGTAAAGCCATTCAAAAAGGTCATATGAAAAACAAACTGAACACATTCTTTTCAGCCATTAGAAATTGTTATATTTTTTCATGTTGACATTAATCTTTCCATTGCCAATAATCAGTTATATACACCCAGACAAAAGAGTGCTCTTACATGTGGACTGGAATTTGATATATGTTTTGATCAGCACAGAATAACATAGCATTTAATGGTTCTTAATTAATAAGCAGTTACAGATTTCCTTTCAAAGATTCAACATGAACATTAATTTTAACTTTAATAAGCAATACAGGTTTTTCTCACATACTGTAGAAATATATATATGTATGTATATTTCTAATAAATAGCACAGACCTGCAATATGAACAGTAATAATTAAAATACAGTAACAACAGAGTACAAAAAGATACAGACTTTCTCAAGTTGCATAATTCAGACAAAAAGATAATCTAATTTTATTGCACTGCTCCATACCCCTAAAAAAAAAAAAACATAAAATTCAGCCAACAGGAGCATTCAGGATGAAGGTCAGTGTAAGGAAATCAGTAGCACCTTTAGTAATTAAAATGATTGTCAATATTTTCAGGAAGCCTAAATAGAGCATTATGACTTTATTAAAAAACAAAACTAAATGATATGTATCGATGAGTTTACCTGCTGTATGTCTCAGCGCTTGCATAGAATGCTTGACCGAGATGTTTAAAATGAATCCTTCAAGAATGATGATCACTTTTGAGTGGCGGAAGACTTCAAGGTGTTTCCCATCTTATTGTTTGAAACTTGTCAGATAATCCTCCTACTATGCCCCAGACCACATCATAGAATACTGAGGGACTCTCAACAATTTAGATCCATTCCATTGATCTATTTATTTCCATGAGGAGTTATTCTATGTCTGGCCCTCTGCTTGGCATAAACACTGCTCTTCTAGAAACATCCTGTCCACAAGGAGTTTACAGTCTAGAAGGAAAGATAAGACCTTGGGAACATATTTAAAACAGCAGGCAAAACACAAAGTTTCATGGAGGAATGAGGCATTTCTGTCAAATCTGTTGAGAGTGAAACCTAGCAATCTCTGGTAGGTTCTTTTCTGAAGCAATAGGCCCACGTGACAGACACCACAGCAGGACAAGGCAAGTGCGTCAGTACTCCGGACAGTTTTCCTAACAATGAGCTCATCATCGAAACAATTTACCCTTGATCTATGTAAATCTACATAACATTTAACTAAAATAAAATGTGCTTTTCTATGAAAACACCAGTTATCTCATTTTGGGGGTCACGTTTATACATCTGTTATTCCTAAGTTATGAATTGTTACATATATAAAAATTTCCAGAATTTTATACGAAGATCGACTTAGTATAGTCCCTTGCAGGCAGGTGGAAGAAGAGCAGTTTATCATCTTATATTAACTGTGGCAGGCATCCACACTGATCACTTTATACTTTGTTTTCAAACAGTGAGGCAGGTGCAGCCATGACTTAGATCCTGTATAAACAAGTGACTGGATCCTCTTAGGTGTCAAGCAAGGCTCCCTTAATCTTTACTTCACTGTCACAGGGAATACCCATATTTATGTGACCATGAGATGGTTTGCTCAGTGGTTACCAAGATGCAGAGAGAACAAAACACATTATGTTGCACTTAGAAATCTTAGAAGTAGAGCTTAAGACATAATTTATAATGAAAATAATTTTATAGATTAACTCTGAAGCCCATTCACTTCAAATTTTTGAAAAAGTTGGTGAGGTAAATTATATTTTACATGTCTTATTAATGGCAAGGTATTATGTCTTGAACTCTTCCTCCAAATCTTAATTCAAATTTAAAACTGTAATGAAAAAATATTTAGCCAAAGCATGAAAGTTGTAACCATTTTTCAAAATTTCCTTCTCAAGTGGAGAATTTTTTAACCTAGAAAATAATTCATTAATACATTATAATAAAAACCCTTCAAATCAAGTGAAAATTTTAATATTTGGGAAGATTTTGCCCTTTTACCTTTAGCATAGAGATTACTGTATGACATTGCAAACTAAAGTATGATATTGACTTTATCACCACCAGGATAGGTAACACCACCCATCTCGAGGCTGTTCCTGTCGCACTGATGTCAGATGGTAGCACAGCATCAGTCTGGCTGAGTATAACCCCCACACAGCTGCCTGTGGAGGTACAAAGGTCTTTCACATGCCCAAAAGTCTTTTCGGCCATGTCAGTTTCTGAACACCTTCACTAACAGTGGATCCTATAGTTGATGTCCCCAGTGACTTAAACAAACACGTGTCTAATGCAGAATGCTGCTTTTGTATTTTGCCAAAATGAATTCCAAGCAGTCACCACGCTTCTTCCTGAGATTTATCTCATTATGGGTGATTTTTTTTTGGTGTTTATTGTGGATTTCTGGAGAGGTATGAATAAAGGAAAAGCCTAGAAATGCTGTCTATCCAGGCAAAACAGGGTAAAGGGCATTCTCTGACATTAAAGCTTTAGTTACATTGTTTGAGACACCTGTTAAGTGTCTAGTTTTGTCTGATAGAACTCAGTCTAGTACTTTCCCTAACACATTTTCAGATTCTTAAAACAATGCGTGAGTGATGTCCTTAATTTAAGTGATGACAATTGTGTAGGAAACAATTGAATGTTTCTTTTAAAATAAGGTCTATGCATAGGCAAAAAGGGCAATTAAAGGAACACTGATAAATGTCTATTAACATAATACTGGTATCTCTAGAATGGCTTGATATTACCGTAATATCATATACTGTGCAAAATTCAGCAGCGTATTAGTTACTGTCTGCGACAAATTCAGAACTCTCTAGTGTGACAATCAGTAGGTATTCTTCAAATTAAGTTTACAAACTTGACTTTGCAAAATATGATTGAAGAAATACATTTGTATTGAATATGAGGAATTATTGAATGTGCTTCTAGGAAACTATTTCATTTATTCTATAAGGTCATCATTACTGATGGCAGGGCTTACCTAGTAAAGAGAATTAAAAGTGTTTGGAAGTCAAAAGATGTGTACTCTCTTCAATCCTGCACCTACTCAGAGCACACCTTAGCAAAGGTTTTAATCTGTTGATACTAGTACAGCAAAATGTGGACCGCTAACAAGAAATAGCTGAGAGGGGTGAGATGGTGCAATCAATTAATTAAACATGAAATTTGATATCTATATATGTTGAGTGAAAATACATTACACATCAAAATACAATTGCATTGAATGTTCTGAAACCAGCATTTCAATTGGCAGGTCCAATCTCGTGAAGTCCAGAATTGCTTAGCCTTCAATCAATACAATGTTAGTGGTAGCAAAGCAAATCCCATTGAAACCTGCAGTCTATTTCATTAAACATGTTTTGTATAAAATGGGTTCATCAAAAGCATTATTAGGTGCATATACAAAGTAAAAATGAAACTACAAACAACTACAGAATGAACATCACCGCCGTTTTGAAATTCCACGCTGAATTTAGGGAGATAAAATTTTTCTGAACAACACGCTGCCCACACCCTAGTCGTCATCCGTTCAGTGCCTGTTTTGCACATAAAGCTTATTTTCTTTCATAGCTTATTTTACCATTCAAATTAAAACCAAAGAAACAAATGCTGGCTTTATCAGGTAAAGAAAAATTAGTCACTGTTACGTTAATAAATTCAGCATATACTGTGGCCTTCTCTATTACTGCTGAATGCTGCTTACCTAATTAACAGGTTGTCTATGAAGACTCAAAAACAAAAGACCATGAGAACAATGACAGTGTCATCAAACCACCAGCAAGGAAATAATCTATGTGGAAAATGTCCAGCAGGGGAGGACAAAAATCTTAAAGACTTTCATTCAAACATTACAGAAAAAGGAAATTAATTCAAAAACAAGAAATAAAGGTAGAGACAGGGGTGTTAAGGACAACAAAGCACCTGGGACTGGAATAGGGGTGATTTTGTTCAATGTCAATATTAACTTTGCTCAACGTGAGACTTGCAAGAACGTCATCCATAATTCACATTACCATCAATTTTTCAAGCTCTGTTCATCAAGGCATCAAAGCAAAGAGAGCATGGAGATGACGTCTAATTTTATAATAATACTAATGTGTAGAGGCAAAGTCTACTGAGTATGAACACTTGAAGCAAAGAAGGCTAAATCTGAATGGTAAACATGATGGTCTCAGTACACTGTTCATTTATGGGTGTTTTTATGACATGAGAGTTTCTGGCATGCATGTCTCTTAACTTTAGCCTGTGTTCTTAAATGTGGAAGTATATGGACCCACGGAATTCAGATCTGTAGAAGTGGTAGGATTAAATGTCGAGACTTAAAAAACATCTGAGTGACCTTACTGCAAACATCTGTGGAGTGTGTGCACTGGGGCAATGCTGGATTAACAGTGCACAGCACTGCTAATTCCAGTTCTTGAAGGTACGAGGCACTTCCAGAAATACTGGGAAAATTCCAGATGGCAAGTGCCCAGGAGAGAATGATTTGTTTTGCTAGGTTATGCCAAACTAGACTCAATTATGAATTTATCTGACATAAAGAAAAAGCCACACTTATAACTTCTGGACCACAAACACCTTTCCAATCTCAGAATATTCAAGCCTAGACTAAAGAGGTTTTTCCTATTTGTGAACATGTGCCTTTCTTCCATGAAGTATATATAGCTTCAGGAAGGCTATTCTTGCAAATCACAAATGAGCAAGACCCTCTGCACCACAGATGGCGTCATGCACAGATGACACCATCATAAGGAAAAGTGCATGGAGACTTAACTCCTCAAACAAGGTGGGATGCATAAGCTCTTCAAATGTCTAGCAAGAGAAGCTGACAAAGGCAGTAATAGTTGTGTTCTCCGCGAGACGAGAGAACAAGGAGCATGCTCAGAGAAACTTGAAAACTAACTATTAGGAATACGTTTTGTCAAATAATGAAAATAAGTAGATACTATATTAATGAATTAAATTACTTTAATCTTATTAATCGCATAAATATTTCTTGGTTCCTGGGCTAATCCCATAAATGGGGTAGTCACTAAAATTCAAATTATCATGTTCTATAGTAAGTAATGTTTACAGTTTACATCACAGGTAGGAACAAATATAGGAATAGCTTATGTGTACTAAAGAACTTCCTTTACTCCAACTTCAGGGAAAATACATTACACCTGAGTCATATAAACATACCATCATTTATATGAGAAAAGGACTTAATGAAGCACATTCAGCTGTTATATATAATCATTATTTGAGATAATTTGAACTGATGAGAGAAGCAGGCAATTTGAAATTATATTTTGCATAAAGAAAATTCAGTGTCTAATGAGCAAATAATAAATTATAATATAGACTGCAGTTAAGTCTCATTTCCCATATAAAGTTTACTCTTTTGCATTTCTTTTTACTTGCTTTTGACACTCTAAGTTGTGTGTGGAAATTGAGTGAATTCTCTAAGAACTTTCTGCTTTTAGATAAACCCATAAATTTTGGTTGGGCAATATACTATTTTTAACTCTAGGGAAATTTCCTGAGCGCTCTCTCTCTCTCGAGAGAGAGAGAGACAGAGACAGAGAGACAGAGAGAGAGACAGAGAGAGAGAGAGAGAGAGAGAGAGAGAGACTATTATATCAAAGTGCTGACTCCTAGTGTGGCTTTGGTTTTAATATTAAGAGGCACTGTGTAGGCAAAATGCATATCATGGATTTCTTACCTCCTTTACCTTGTATTCTCCCATTACACTGAACCAAACATTTAGGATAATTTATTCTATTAAAGGTTGGAAATAGCCTATATATGAGTTTTTTCTTTGTAAGGCATTTTTGGAGCAATGTAATTTCAACTAATTAAAACATCTATATAAAATTTTACTTATACTTTTCTGTGTTATAGATTGTCATGTTGTAGGGCTAGAAGCAAGTGAGTAGACAATTACACCCTTATGGAATACTTTTGAGCATACCAAATCAAATTGTTTCATTTCTTTTTTGCTGTTCAGGTGGAGTGTGGCCAATAGAGTGCAGGTGCTTGGCAGACAGAAAGAAATTGGGAACTCTATGAGTCATGTGAATTTATACTGAGAAAATGTCATGTCTTCAATATGATACATATTACTGCCTCTCACTGCCTCTTCAAAAAGGACCTAGAAAGAAGACTAAGAACGAATTAGTCCATACCTATTCTTCTTTCTATGGATGATGAAAAATAGTTAAGGTTAAATAGCAAAAGATGAGGGATGTTCAACTAACAAATGGCAATTATATAAGCTAGCTAGTAACTGGAAATTAAGAGTACGCTAGTTTCTTTTGAATAATAATTAGAACTTTGTGGGCATTTCAATGATAACAGTTTAGTTTCTTATCTTGAACATCTAAAATCTGGTATTCCTCTGTGACAGGAATGTATTCAGCACTCAAGTTGCAGATGAGCATGCTAGCTACATTCCTCCTGTACTGTGTGATTAGATAGGAACAGAAGCTTTAGGCCAACAGTGTTTGCTCAGTCTTTGAAAGATATAATTAAAGGAACAAGTATGTCAACAGATGCAGTTGGACCGGGAAGAGCAAGCAAGTAGATTCATTTCTATTACAGTTCTCTTGTTGATTCAAGCAAGTTATAGCTTTAACTTAGAACATGTCTGTTACAGACATTCCTACTTAGAATGTCATGTTTCTGACATGACTCTGCACACCAGGTCCTGTGCTTTGAGATCCTTTCACACCCTTAAAGATCAATGGAATAACCATCAGAAGTGAATTAAGGCAACTGAGAAGCAGCAAAGGAAATGCAACTTGGCTTTGGTTTGATTCATCAGCAATTGACATAACTAAACCTCTTTCCAAGGAGAAAGGAAGGCACCGGGGCCCCCCTACAGCATCTCTGCATGCAGATGTCACAGCACACAGGAGTGACTACAAATCCTACGGTCACTGCCTTACTGTTCCTCTTCTTCTGCTGTCTGACATGTATATTAGTTTAAAAAGGTATTTTCAAAGAGTGCAAGGCATTCTTTTTGGAACTGTTTATGATTGACTAGAATGGTGTTTTTTTTTTAATAACAGAAGTGGATATAAAAGGAATAACACACAAAAAAAGCTGACTCAAGATTGGGTGGAACCAAGTTAAAGAAAAGGACACTGCAAAAAAAAAAATGAAGGACATTGTATGCTATATGGTGTCACATGTTGTCCTTATTCATTTCCTTAAGATATTGGCACATCCTGTTTTTTATTAAATGATTGAAAATCATAAATATCTTCAAAAAGGCAAATGTTAAATGAAGAAAAAGCAAATCTGAAAATATGAGCCTGTGAACCACATTTAAAGCAGTGGATTAAATTTAGGACAAACTCAAACCTTTAATGCTGATGTCATGAAAGTGCAGTGTCTAGGCAAAGTCTCCTAAGGAATAAGAATAGCACCCACCCTCTGCTGCAAAGAAAAGAGGAGGGTATTGCTAGAGAGGTGTCACTCAATTGTAAATCACTGAGTTCTATCCCTCATAAAATTAAACAAGACATATACAAATATTTAAATTCAGTTGATATTTATAGGTTAGGAAATCACGGATCTGTCAAAAATGTCTTAGGAATGATTCTGAATCCCAGTTACTTTTGCTCAAAAAAATGAGAACATGCCAAACTAACCTGAGTGACAACCCTTCACCATATCAATACTGTGCCATAAACTATATTCCTAGAAGTCCCCAAACCTGTATTTTTACAAGTGTCTTTCCACCCAGCAAGCTCCAGTGTTCTGGTTCTGTTCTCAGACAACAGGCAGTCAAAATCAATAGGGAGCAGAATTTTCAAGTGTTCCCTCTACCATGAGGCATCTTCAGGGACTGAAGTCAAGGGCTGGCTTTCTTTTCTTTTGCTTTTGCTTGTTTTAGTGAAGAATTCGAAGACTGTAGTGGGCTCAATAATGACCCCTACTCTTGTCAGTTCTATTCCTACAATTTACTCAGAAGATTAAGCTTGTGTCATTACTTTGGTTGGTTTAAAAAAAAAAAAAGTAGAATCTTGCCTACTTGCAGATGTCAACTAGGATTCTTGGTTATTTGGCTTGGTTATTGCAGCACAACATTGAATCTGGATTGAGCCCTGTTTTTTTTTTTTTAAAGATTCATAATTAAGCTGTACATTATGAGCTAAGATACAAATCAATGGGGTTTAGCTGATGTTCAGTCTCACTAAAATTCTAATTCAATTGATGTGTTAGGTAAAAATTGTACAGATTACTTGGGGGGGGGTGTTCTCTTTTCCAGCATCAGGGACTAATTACAACCTTTAAAAAAAAAAAAACGGTGTGCGCAGATTAATCAAGCACGACTGTGAAAAAGGAGGTTTGGGTTTTTTTGTTTTTTGTTTGTTTTTGTTTTTTTTTTTTTGCCAAACTTATTTTACAAACACTTTTTTTCTGATGCTAGCAATCCCTTAATTTTTTAGTGTTTAGAATTTTGCCTTTCAATATATATTGTTATTTTAAAGCCACACTGTGAAACTGCAGACAAATAAAACACATTCCCATTGTCTCCCTGGAGCTTTTTCTTTTACTTAAAAATGACTATAATAATCTTTTTCTTTCAAATTCATTTATTTTTTTATGGTCTCCAGATACTCAGTGTTTGTGTGGATATATATTCTATGTGATTCTTTGTGTGTGAAAAGAGAAATAATTGTCTTTAATTTACTTCATAACAATATCAAATAAAAAGGAACTTTGAGGAGAGACATTTTATGGAATTAAACATATGCTTAAGTAAGCCAGGCTGCTGAGATGCAGATTTTGTTCTACGAATAAAAGTCAGTGAAAGATTTAAAAATTCTTCTTTCTCATCACAACACCCCAAGTCAAGTCTGCAAATAAGCCTCTGCATCGATTTTCTGTATACATCACCTCCAAATCTTAGTTTCATTATTGTTTGTGATCATTTGTTTTACCTAAAATCCTTTCCAACACTTTGAAAAACACAAAGAAACTCATAAGCGAATTCATAAACACTGATTTGAGATGAGACATGTTAAATATTGCTTTCTCTTTCTCTGTCTGACGGAGGACTGTGTGCACCTGAAACTTTGACAGTAACATCGTCGTGTTTGGATTTGCTCAAAGCCTCCGATTCTCTGGGCGAATGGGTGGCTGATTTCTTCTTCCGTGCTCTCTCTCTCTTCCTTTCCTTGGCGAGGAGTCTATAGTTAATAGCGTTGCCGATGAACAGCCAAATGCCTGATACCACCACGATTGCCCCACTGGCTATGTACATAAATTTATAGTCTTTAGTTTTATCAACCAATTTACCTATAAGACAGAGAACAATTCTAAGTGAGTCTGATAAAATGACAGCATCACAGAAACTTTCTCAGACAAACTGTAGTCCTCTTATTTAAATTAAAATCAAATCACACTTTAATATAGAAAATATTGTAGCTAATATTCATATATATATATATATATATATATATATCAAATTGGGACAAATATCAAAAGGATTGCCTTAGCAGTGTATCACATATATTAAAAACTATTTCTGCCAATAAAATAAGTGATCAAGATAAAGTAGACATACATGTATTTGTATATTACTACATAGGAATATGAGGCATATTTTGTATACAGGCATGTGGCTTCATATGTATTTAACTATTACGTTGCATCAGATACTTTGAGATCACTATTTTCCCATGTTTCTTGGTTACTTTAATTTAATAATGGAAACTTTATAATATTTTCGAAGACCCGGTGGTCTTTGGTGTGGCTCGCTACTGGCTTCACTATGCTCATCACAGACTGAGCATTTACCTGGACTAAACTCCTGTGTCGTGACTATGGAGTGATCTCACCATGTGAACTACAGATGCTTTTTTTACAAAACTGCTTCAATTCTTTAGTTATCAAAACAAGGCCTGGCTGCTTTCTTTTCTTTCATCTTCATTAAGACCCATTTTATTAAATATATGTGTGTGTTTCTGTGTGTATGTATTTGTATGCATGTATTTCTGTGTGCCACTTTGGGGCCAGAAGAGGAGTTACAGACCATTGTGAGTTCCCTAAGGTGGGTGCTGGGAACTGAATTCTGGAAGAGCAGCAAGTACTTTTAACTGCTTGGCCATTTCTCAACTCCCCAGACTGTGAACTTTAGATGAGGCCACTTTACAGCTCACCCTTTAAATCAGGTTGTAGAGTGTTCTCACCCGATCTCTTCCATAGGTGGTATGCCACTTTGGAAGTTAAACACCTTGGTTTTATTGAATCTGGAAGTTAACCTGGAAGAATTCCTTGGTCCCAATGAATTAAAACTAGCCTGGTGTCACTAAAGTTAAAGGCTAGCTGACATTACGACATTTTTTTTTAAGCTCATGTTTAGTTTTTCCTTTTATTTATGAAAGCATTGTTTTCTTAATAACTCCTAAGGACAAACTTTGATGTGAAGAATTCATAACTGTGATGTAGACAAGTGCTTCAGTCCCCATGCAAACTGACTAAAATATAGTTAGCACTAAGTGGAGCCACTTGAAATATTTGCCCACTTGAGAACAATTTTCTGGTTTAATTATGAACGGTTGCCTATGTGTATTTGCACTAAAACACCTACCACCTGAGGCCTTTGTGCTTCACACTGGCAGAGGGGCACACAATACCAATAAGGCCTGACAATGACTTGCATGTCTTTCTAATCCTTAGAAAATAAAAGATGGAATTTCAATGATAGCCTTAAGACTGAAGAGATAATGAATTTCCCATCTTCACCGAAGCTTCTTTATGTTCTAAAGAAAGCAGCTGAACAACTGACTATAAAAGGATGACAAATTGATATCAGCAAGGCTTTGAGTGCCAGGCGGGCGGACTAAACCCAGGTGAATGAGTTTCCATTCCATGTTCATTACACATATACAAGAATTGTTAGAGATTACAACCGCAACCATCAGCATCACCACCACCCCATCATCAAAAACGCTTAAAATCTAACACAGAAGCCAATTTTAAATTAAATCATGCATGTAATGCATTTGCCATTTGCCTTAGTATTTTAAGTTTAAGTTGTGGAACTATCTGTCCTGGTTTCCTTCCAGGAGTGCTCTCACGTATATTTCTAAAGGAAGCCACAAAACAATCCTTACAAAAATCAACAAAAACCCAATGTTTCTATTGTAGCAATTTTACCCTTTTTTTCTCCCCCTTTCTGTCTTATCTTTCTCTGTCCTTCTCCCTTCCTTCCTCATTCTTGCACCTTACTTTGTTTCCTCCTTTTCTTCCTTTCTTCCTTCATTTCTTTCTTTTCTTCTATTTTGGGTTTGTTTTTCATGACAGTTTTTCTAAGTAGTTTTGATTGTATTGGAACTTGCTCTACTGAACAGGCTTGCCTTGAACTCAGGCCTGCCTCTTCCCCTGAGTGCTGGCATCAAAGGTGTATGCTACCACCACTGGCTATGTTTTTCTTTTGTTAATAAAAAAATCAGGCTATTTTCTCAACTTTTTGATGTGATGGTAATACATAAATCTGATTTCCTCAGTAGGAATTTTAGAATAGACACTTCTATAGACAATTTAGAAATCATTTCACATATTAAAAGTCTACATGTGGTCTTCATCACTTATTAATATGTAACAGATATTATTTACTCAAAAAACTAAACTTGAATGCATTTTTCTTTATCTTTGCATTCTGTATCAATGATATAAAAGTTAGCTACCTTAGGCAAAAACTCAAACCAACATAGCTAATGTACTGTCATAAAGACCCAGATTCTAATCCTTTCAGGATAATATTTTATATTTTTGCTCATTTCTATGTAAGCAAAATATGAATCTGTTCATCAAAAAACAGTCACACTTTATTCTTGTGATATATTCTTAAATAATAAAATAATTGATGTACATAAAAATCCTGAAGTTATACTAACCATAAATCTTATATAAGCTCATAATTTTCTAAGTCCAAGATTTTGAGTGAAAATTTCAATTACAAAACCTCTCCAGTCTTTTATACAACTCGAGTTAGTCAAAGCCACATTAATCACTGCAAAGAAATACTTCTTCACATATATTTAGGTTATTCTTAAATATTCTTACCAGCTATAGGAGGGCCGAGAAGAACGGGGCAACACTCCATAATGGTGACAAGTCCCACGGCACTGGAAAACCTGGCAGGTCCAACAAGGTCCATAAGAGTTTCAAAGAGGACACTGCTAACACTTCCAAATCCATAACCAAAGAATATAGAGTAGACCACCAATGCTGGGTAGGTATCTGCCAGGGGGCAGAGGAGATGGCATACGCCAGTGAATATAATTGCAAAGCTGAAGAAGTACTGGATGCGTGGACGGATTAACTTGGAGTTGGCTATTAATCCTCCCAAAGGTCTAGCAAACATATCCACAAAAGCCATCACAGACAGCAACAAAGCTGAGTTATATTCATCCACTCCTTTGTCTTTAGCATATGGAGCCAAGAATATAATAGGGGCAAAAAACCCTAGAAACATAATGACATTTCCAGATAGGTAGATCAAAAATCCTCTATGCTTAAAAAGGCTGAAATCTAAAAATTTATTAATTTTTTCTGCTGTCGATTCCTTCCTGACTTTCTTCATAGTTTCATTATGTCTTGAACCAACCTTACTTTTAGACTTTGACTGACGTGGACTTTGCTGGACAGGCCTCATGAGGCACCCAGCCACACAGGAGTGCAAAAATATGCCTCCCAAAATCAAGAAGCTCCCCTTCCAGCCGTAACTGTTAAATAGGTACTGATTAAAGGGAGCCAGCGAGCTTAAGAAAACAGGACTTCCAGCCATGGCCAAGCCGCTTGCCATGGGCCGTCTCCTATAGAAGTATTTTCCGAGTATTGTTAAGGCTGGTTGCAGGTTGAATGCTAATCCTATACCTAAAATAGAAAACAAAGGGGGAAAGAAAACACAAGCATATTATATCACTCTCCAAAGAAATTCCTTAAAATGTGCACTGTACAGAATAAGAGAGACTGGTAGCAGTGGATTCCAATCTTTGCGGATTACAAGTGGAAATATAATTGTACCAAAAAACGAAATTGGTTTTCGTAAAAACAAACATAGTAAGAATGCTTTCAGAGCCCTTTATCTTCAAGAAGTAAGACGGGAAACTACTGAGGTATGGCAGAGATACAACAGAAGAGGCTACAGCAAAAATATAATTATGAATTCTTAGCCAGAATCATATAATCTCACAGATAAATTAACCCCTTCCTTCGCACACAGGCTTATATGCAAATAAACAGGCTCCGTTCACCTCTAGTGAGAATGCGGATAACTCTGTTAGTGCAGTGGAATGGTGCACAAACTACAAGACTCCCAATTTTCAACCATCTTCTACCTCCCCATAAACATTCCTTTCAGCACCATGTCATAATAAAACAGAGAAATAAGTTTACCCCATTATTTCATTCCACATCCATCTCATTCTAAATTGAGCATCTAGAGATGGGTTGAATAAAAATATTTTTGGAATATATTTTATTTTAGGGAGTTTTAGTTGATTCTTTGGGGCCAAGAGCCCACCATGAAATCCTTGGCAGTGCTGGTCCCACCTTTGAGAGACAAATTCCCTCTTTCAGATCAGCCAGACATGACAGTATTCAGCTGCATGTATGAATCTTTCTTTTATAAACAGACAAATTGACTTATGTAAACCACCTTCATTGCAACATTAGCATTGGTACTATTCTACTTGTAAAGGCCTCTTGAGGTAAGAATCCTTTAGCCTACTAATTTGAATGAATTGAAACCATGTTGCTAAATGGTTAAGAACTCAACTCTGCACTACACAACACTAAGTCCACCTCTTGATGACATTTTTCTGAAATAAACTTTCCCTCAAAGCTGTGGAAGGAGTCAAAACTATAATTTAGGAAAAACAGGCTGCGACCCTCCCACTGAGATATGCAGACTGGGAATAATGAGACTGGTTCCTGTCAGCTTATGGAGAGGCGGCTTGTAAACAGAGGATCTGAACTAAAAACCCAGGTATCAGATTTCATTTATCTTTCTTCATTTTCTCCCTGATAAAAGTGGAGAACATTTGTTTTTAGATGTTATGTCAAGAAAAGTGATACACCAGTGACAGTGGGACCCAAACACATGAAATTGTTTTGGAATAGGAAGAGTGTCCGTGTATAGGTATGTTCTAGCAGAGGAACATCAAAACCATGACCTCTTTAGTACACCATCGCTCTCTTCTCTGCTGAGAGAGAAGATAGTTAGGACATAAGGGACATATGGATCTCCTCTCCACAACAGCGATGCTGAGCTCCGATATGTTATGCTTAGATTTGGCATTTAAAGGGTTTTCCCATATAAAAAGTCAGATTAACATAGAGAGGGTACAAATACAGACATTTGTTGTCAGTATTATTGTTTATTGTTCTCAGTTTGCATCCCAGGTAGGTCTTGAACTCACTATATAGCTCAATCTAACACTGGACTCAGAATCTCTTGCCCCAGTCTCCCTAGTGCTGGTCTGTGGTACATTTGTACCACAATGTCTGCATGGCAGCCTGCAAAGCCTGTTGTCTTCGTCAGATGGTTTACAGGTATAAATGTGGATGAATCTCAACTCAAACATGAGACAAAAATGTTCATTTAGCCCTTATTATCTATTCTTCTCTTAAAACATGAAATGTAGATTGATAAGGAAAATAAAAATCATGCTCTTCTATATACAGTTTATGTTGGTTTAAGTGAAAGGGACTTCCTCATGAAGCAGTGTGATGTCATTCTCAACATTTGTGAGAGGGCTGGTAAAAGCAGGACGTTTCAATAAGAGGAAATAGATGAAGGCTAAAGAGGTTTCTCTGTCACTCATTAAATCACAATTGCCAGTCACTTTATTGTTGATGTTAAATCGTTGTTATCCCAAAATATATACTTGACACTATTTTTAACTTATATGGTAAGTCTCTAAACAGGAATAAAAAATGTTTCATAAACAAAGTTGTTATACTAGAAGGTATTTACAATATCACCTCAACTGACTCAACAGGAAAATGTAACCAAGTCAAAAACAGTCAAAACTTTTTTCATGTCCATATCTCTGGAGTGATACATGACTGTATGATAACTTTTAAAAATCATTTCTTAAAATGAAATGTTTTGCCCTACCGTGGGAAGTACTTTAATGATTCAGGTTAAAAGACCCCAGAATAAACTTGCTTTTTAAAACAAACTGAAACAAAACATTAAGAATTTATAACTTCTTCATACTTTTTATACCATTTAGATGAGAGCAGAACCCGGCTCACCTCCAATTAAGCCAATTGTGAGGTAAAGTTGTATCACACTGTTACTGAAGGAAGCCAAGATCATTCCGGTACAGCATAGCAACCCTCCAGTTATCACCACTGGCCGGCTGCCATAGTTGTTCACCAAGACACTACTGACAGGACCTGAGGTAGAAAAGTGATAAAGAAATATTAGTTGAGGGGGACAAAGACTTATCCTTAATATGTCTTTGTTCTGAATGCCGGGAAAGTGCAGTTTAGCAATCAAGACAGATTAGTTCATGTGTGGTAAAGTTGGGACTGTCTAATGTGTCACGTAGACTGGTTTGTTTTTAACTTTTAGTTTTGCATTACTTTTTTTTTTTTTGAGACAGAAGTCTCAAATTCTTAAAAAAAGGGTGATCCTTCTGTCCCAAAGTCCTGATTATCTGGGATTAAAGGAAAGTATCACCATTAGTAAAGCTGATGAGTTACTTTCTTTCATTTACTTTATAAAAATTTATTTTATTTTAGTGTGTTATGAAGTGTGTGTGTGTCTAGTGTGTGTGTGTGTGTGTGTGTGTCTAGTGTGTGTGTCTCTGTGTGTGTATGTGTGTGTTTGTATTAAGGTTAGGAGAGGTAATTAGATTCCATAGAGTTAGTATTACACCTGCCAAATGCAGGTGCTGGAAACCAAACTTAGGTCTTTGCAAGAGCAGCAAGTACTTTTAGCTGCTGAACCCACTGCTCCGATCCCTGGTAAGAATTTTTTAAAACCACATTATAAAAACACACTAAAATAAATTGGAAACATTTAATATGTATAGTTTTTAAAACTGATACCAATCAAATGTAATGCAAAAGTTTTCAATGGAACCCAGCTAAACAGGCCTCAAACATCTCTCCAATGGTGACAAAAATCCCGGAATTATATACAGCTTTGGCCTACATTTCAGAAATAATTATTATTAACCGGAGCTCATGTTCTTAGGTACACTCAGATATAGTTTTTCTTTAATACCATATTTTAATGACTCTTATTTTTTCCTAATATTTTATTCTTAAAATTATGTGTGTTCAGTGCATACATGTATGTGTGTGTGTGTGTATGCACATGTGTGTATGTGTGTGTCTGGGCATATGTGAACATGAACACATGCATGCATAGGTATAAACATGTCAGTGCCGATGCCTTCAGAGGTCATAACAGGTTATCAGGTTCCCTGGGCTGCAATGCCTTTCAGGCCCACATTTCCTTCATTTAAGATTCTGATTGTGGTTAGTCCACAGCAACCACAACCCCACTAGTATAGCTATCACATTATACATGCTTAGGTTATATATTACATTCCATGATTTACAAGACCATGAAAAATCACTCACACGTTAACCATATGAAACACACTCTAACCATATGAAAATGAATACTGACTTTGCCCCAAAGTTCTTTGTGTGACCCATTCTCTAAATGCCATGTAAGCAGCAGCATGAACGCTTACAGAATGAGGTCAGCTCCTTGGAGGAAGCTGCCTGAGGTAAGAGGTAATCCTACCTCCCTGGCAAAGAAAACTCTGAGGCCTGAGTCTGAGACTCAAAGGAAGGAGTTTCAGGAATAACTTACAGAATTTATTTAACATATATTTCCAATACATTTGGGTGGGTGTACATGCAAATAAAAACACTTGGGAATAATTAAGATTATTAATATCAGGCATATTCAATTAACTGCAGGGATGCTGTTTTAGGAGTTGTTATAAAATAGAAGTTCTGGATATTAAAGCATTGTGTTTTACTTGTGTAGACAGCATTTACTTGGCTGTCTTGCAAAATACTAATGCAACTTAATAAGTGAACGCTCGTGATGAAAGTTGTCTTTCTACAATCTGCCGGTGAAGAAACAATTTCCTTTGACATCTCTTCCGTACCTGAAAATTACATTTCACCTGCTACTAGGAGTACTGCTTTATGGAAAATAAATACAACATTAGGTCAGAATTGTCAGTCAAAATCAGATCCAGAAAAATAATTTTTTTCCAATGCTTCAGGACAGGGTTTCTCTGAGTAGCTTTGAAACCTGTCCTAGAACTGCCTTTGCAGACCAGGCTGGCCTCGAATCACAGAGATCCACCTGCCTCTGCTTCCCAAGTACTGGGATTAAAGGCGTGCATCACCACCAACCTCGTAAAAATTAAATTTTTAACCTATAGTACAATTTCAAATTTTGCTGAATTTGATCATATTGTATTTTAAAATATTTATGTGGCTAAAATTAACATATATTGAAATTCAGTTACCATAATGTTTATATTCTTTTAGTAAATATAATTAGTTACCATGTAATCTTCAAATGAGATAACTAAAAAAATATAAAATCTTATACTTAAAGTAGTAGACAAGATAACATTTTTCAAAGACCTTATGGAATACATGCACCTCCAAAACTGCTGAGAAAAAAGAGTAAAGGGAAATGATTACAAGAAATGAGAAAAGCACAATTATGTGCTTGATATGGTAAAAGTTACTTGAGGACATAAGAACAAAATAATTACACATTATATAATACTTAATATGCTCCTATTATCTAGAAAAAGGGGCATCTCTTTTGGAAGGCACATACCAGAATTAAAAAACTTTGAGTGGAAAAAAATCACTAATAAAGTAAGTCTTACTTTTGCTAGAAAAGGATTACAAATGGGTTCTATCGTACAGAATATAGCCATACAGAATATCATTTAACTAAGGCACACAGTTTAATGTAAAATTATTTATTAAGGTTAGAACATCCATTGTATCTTGACTGAAATCTTTGTAGAAATGATAGAAGGAACACAAGCATCATTCACTGTTGCCTTGACTCTCTCTAAATAATACTAGCAAATGACAAAGGAAGCATTGGATGTGATGGACACAATCCATGGGTGGAGATATAAAAATAATTGAATATAAGAATAAATTGGTCATGATTAATTATTAAACTTGGGTATAGATGATGATTCATAAAGGTTTTTTCCCTCTTTTCTCAAAATTAGTTAACTGACTCAATTTAATTAAGCTTCATTGGATTCAGTTAACTTCACCATTGCTTAAGCTGATAAAGTTGATTAAGTTGGATAAAGCCAACTGACTCACGTAAAGAACAACATAATAAGGGAAGCACACTATAATTTTAAAACGACTCTAATCTAGGAAAGGAAACAATGAATGCAATTTTATGAAGGACGATAGGTATTATGACAGACAGTAAACACATGATCAAAGGTGTTCACCAATTATTAGGACCAACAAACTGATACATTCTTGGCTCTTGAATTGCAGACTCCATTTTCTGTGTGGTGATCGAACAATGCATGGATAAAGTACATAATTAATGACTATATTCATCAGTATCTTTGCTTAGATTGCACAAATACAAACTTGCGCTTAAGCCATGAATCTCAATTTAACTTTTAATATACCGCAAACAATTATACATCTGTACCCATTGGTTGAGTCAATCGTATCCAATACGTCTGTACCCATAGGTTATGTCAATCTCATCCAATGCTTCCTTTGCCATTTGCTACTATTAATTAAGGAGAGCCATGATGACAGTGAGTGATGCTTGTGTTCCTTCTATCATTTCTACAAAGCTTTCAGTCAAGATATAATGAAAGTTCTAACCTTAATGAACTAATTTTATGTTAAACTCTGTGCTTTAATTAAATGATATTCTGTGTGGGTATATTTATATAACTCATCTGTAATCCTTTTCTAGCAAAAATAAAAATTATTAGTGATCCTTTCAGAAATAGCCCAAACTCTTTTCTTCTTAAAATTAGCACTGAGGGAATTCATAAAGTATTCTTGATTTGTAGGAGCTATGAGTAGATTTTCAAGGTATGATATAAATTAAGACTTTTTTTAATGGAAAGAATCCATAAATGCTCACTAATAGCCAGAAGAGACATTGAAAGTAATCCCCACCACCAAGAGGCACATCTCTTCAATATTTTAACAGTTTGGTTTATTATAAAAAAAGAAAGAGGAAGATGAAAGAACAGCAGACATTCTCATGATACAGAGTATTTCTTGGCTATCAATTGGCTCTGTAACCACAAGTGTTCCTTTTTCAACAGTCTTAGGACTGCTTACATCCTAAATGTACTTATTTATTTTCTTTTTATCAATAAGTCTTAATGTTTAAAATCAGTGTATTCTTTATGTAATAACAATGCTTAATATACATATTGAACATAGGGTTATTAGTTACATAGAACATATATTTAGTAGATATGATATATATTATGTATATATTATGATTATTAGTCATATCAGCGATTAACAGTCCCATCTGCAGAGTTATACCTGACTCCATACCTAAACAGCATAAAGGCAACATTCATTAAAATACTTCTATTTGATAGTCAGCTTCATAGACAAACACACACGCACACACACACACACACACACACACACACAGTCATACACAAAGGGTGGGTATAAAAATAACTTTTATTTCCAAAACACAAGAAGATTAGATTGCATGCTTATAAGACAGGTCCAGACATGAGTCTGTGTGATACTCATTTCTAAACAATCTCAGAATTATAGAAACTGGTCACTTCCATGAAATTGCAATAATAAAGTTCATAAGAGAATAATATAGGCCTCACAGCATGCTACGAGTCTCTGCCCATTCTCAGAGGTCCTGTAGCACCAATAGATGTTAGCATACACAACAAAAATGGATTTCTTCTCACTTGATGTGTCATACTTATGCATTTATTATAAATTTTTACAGGTAGCTGCCATATCCTATTATTAGTTAACTGCGATTACGATTATGCCTTCCAGATAGTGTGCTAAGATTTGTAAAGGCAGTATTCCATAGACTTGCCATGGCAATCTCATGACTGAACTGCCTAACAAAACCTGACTGTTAATGAAATTGAGGTGCAAATACTTTGATTTCTTTATGGGTCTCTCAATATTAGGTAGTAAAATGTAGATTGTGTCAGGGACATTTGACAACAGAACTGTTTTAACTAATGTGCCAAGAATATTCAATAGGATGGATTTAAGACAACTAGACATGTTTGCTTCCAGTGTGGAATCTTGTCTGACATGGGGGAATATACAGAATTCCCTAACTGGTAATGGGATAGCTAAACCAGACTAGTCTGTGAAAATAGAGTGTGTGTGTGTGT